ATATATATATATATGCAGTTCCTGTTTCCCATTTTTGTTCCTCTGTTTGCAGTTGGAAACAATGAAGGTCTCTGGTGTGGCAGGAGGGCCTCTCCTGCTTTTGTCATTCGACCCATGGCTACAATATTTTGAAGCTAGCCAGTACTAATCTATTGCTCCAGATCAGAATTAGTACATGTGCTGCCAAAGCAAGCGCTGCTACAGGTCAGAATTAAAAGTGTCTTATGTGAATTAGCTGCCACCTGTCCCATATGAGCGCTGGGTGGGAACTGGCTGTCCTGTCTCCAGAGAGCCACCTGACTTCCTTGAGTTCACCTATGCTGTCAACTTCTGCAGCATTAATAAATATGGTTACCCGGGGGAAGTCTCATGGCGAGCTTGTCACCGTGAGCTAAGGCTTCACAGTGTGAGAGGCTGTGCTGTAATAGTACACACCATCCAAAGGGCATTTCCATTCACCTTTTCAAAAAAAGAGATAGCAAGTAATAGTGGTGGATCCAGGGAAGTAACCCAAGAGCTACTGGGGAAGACAAATTCAGCATCATCTGAGTGGACAACTTGGGGGTCCATCCAGAAGTGTTATCTGGGAGCAGATTTCCCCTTGATAGATTACAACTCCTTGTTGTTCAATAGAAGAATTAAGTTATAGGGGGCCGATTAGCTAAGTTGTTTAAGCGCTTGCTTACGCAAATGTAGTCAGGCGCAGGATACCACATTTTGATTCCCAGCTCTACATGCCTTACCAGACCCGCCCTTACAGCAGCCTGAGCCAGCCAAAAAAAAAAAAAAAAATCCTTCTCAAGAATTAAATTATAGGGCTGGTGAGATGGCTCAGTGGTCTAAAGTACCTACTTGGTGGGCTGGCGAGATGGCTCAGTGGTCTAAAGCACCTACTTGGAACAAGCTTGGGAAAGCATAGGGACCGCGGTTCGATCCCCCAGCACCACATACCAGCCAGCCCTGCCCCCTGGTGGGCTGAGCTGGCCACACACACACACACACACACACACACACACACACAATAAATAAATGTTTAAAAAAAATAAAAAATAAAAAAAATAAAGTACCTACTTGGAACAAGCTTAGCAAAGCACAGGGACCACGGTTCAATCCCCCAGCACCACATGCCAGCCAGCCCCGCCGCCCTGGTGGGCTGAGCTGGCCACACACACAAAAATAAATAAATAAATAAATAAACAAACAAGAATTAAATTATAGATCCTTCAGTTCATAAGCCTGATGACTGGATGTTCATGTCTTATAATGCATGAGATGTGGCTCCCTCAAACCTTGTTACGACGTGGGCACATTACCCATCTGATGTGAAAAAGAAAGAAAGAATTAAATTATAAGGGGCTGAGGAGATAGCTCAGTAGAACAAGTGCTTGCCTGCTAAGCACAAAGGCCTGAGTTCAATCCCCGGTTCCCCCCCAAAAAAAGAATTAAATTGTAATTATTTTGGGGCCAGGGAAATGGCTCAGTAGAATAAGCATTTGCCTGGCAAGCACAAGG